CCAAGGGATCTTTCACGTGCGCAACATGCACACGAAACCTCCCGGATTTTTCGCCTTTGTCCGAAAAGGTTAGGGGTAGATCTTTCTTACCAGAAGATCAGAGCTGTCGCTGAAAGACAGCAGAAAGAAGGAGCAAAGGAGTAGCAGTAGAATGGTTGAAGAAAGAGTCAGGAGCCCGGAGGATGGGGCGGGGACAAAGGAGGTGGGGGCAGAATGTGGAGACGAAAGCAGACGACAGAATATTTCTAGAGAGCAGGAAAGGAGGTGAAAGGAGACACTTTTTAGAGAAGAAATTTTTTCCGTCGCCACCCGGATTCGAACCCGGGACCTTTGAATGAGAGGCGATACACCTTAACCTCTAGGCCACGAGAGCCCCCACTGGGTATGTCATTGTTTGTTTTTGTGAAGTGTTTTACGGCGCTCGCAACTGCATAAAGGTGATATGAGCCGCGGGACACACCTAATACTTTCAGTTGGTAGAAAATTTTGAATTTTGCCCGGGTGGCGGCCGAAGCCTACTCTTACCGATTTTAGACCACAAAGGGATCTTTAACTTGCGCAACTTGCACACGGATGGGTATGTCATTCGCTCCGCTTGACCTACCAGTGTAAAGACAAATTAACATCAATTTGCTATACCTTAGAATTACAAGGTTCTATTTGACAAGAATTGACATCGAAAAGGCTTAACATACAGCTACTTCTGAATTACAAAGTTCTATCTAACATTTTGGCTGTTTGGAGTTACAAAGAACATGACGTCAGAAACTAAATGTTCTATCTGCTTTATCAGAATCGTAAAATTATTCGGAGTAGTTATCAAGACAATCAAAGAACTGCATTTGAAAAAGCTTGACACGATGTGAAACTCAAAATCTTCGACGTCAAATTTGTCCAAAACTAGGTAGGTACAGAGCAGCAGCTGATAAAGCTTTGCAATTGTGGGGTAGTGATAATGTGAACCTCAAACGTATTGACGGAAAATGTCTCAAAACTAGTTCCTGATACAGATAGAACATTGTAATTGTAGGGCAAAAGTTAGTTGTCTCTTCTTTTCTTTCTGTTGTACTTTAAAAGCGGCCTTAATTTCATCTTTGTAACGTTTGATTATAGCTCCCCGCTGCAGGCGGCTGATGAAGCAAGATGGTTATAGAAGTTTAAAGGGCTTTGTTTTTGTTAGGTTGTTGGTGTTTGGGTTGTTGGGTTTTTTTGGTGTTTTTTTTGGCTTGTCTATTCAATATTATTATATAATAATAGCCTTCGAGTAAAGATCAGTTATTTTGTAAATTGGTTATCTCATTCAACGAGGTCTTGCATTCTGGGTATTGAACATCGCAAGGAAACATTTTTTTAAAAACAATGACAATGACAGTCTTTATTCTTGATCTCGCTAATAGAAACTTGTGTTGTTAGTCGTTTACAATGGCAGGAGATTTTACAAAGCTTAGGTGTACTCACGTTTACGCTCAACAAGGCAGGACATTTGTAAATACATGTCTCACGTGCTGCAACAACCCGCTCCGTAAAATATTCTCTCTCTCTTTCTCTCTCTCTCTC